AACCGCGCCCTGGACTGCGGCTCTGGCATAGGTCGGGTCAGCAAGCATGTCCTGTTACCAATTTTCAAGAGCGTGGAGCTGGTGGATATGATGGAGAATTTCCTGGCTGAGGTCCCGAACTACCTCCAGGGCAAGGAGGACAGAATAGAGATGTATTATTGCAAACGCCTTCAGGAATTCACTCCAGCCCCACAAAGATATGATGTCATCTGGATTCAGTGGGTTTCAGGTTAGTTCAGCATGATTCCTCCAGCCAGGCTTCTCAGAGAGCTATATAGCCTGTGCTAAAAATTATGCTAAAAGAATGGTACGGCTGTAAAAGAAGGTTCTCAAATGTTTGGAAAAGCCAGAGTGAACACTGACCAGTGCTGGGGGCACAAGGCTTGCCTTGCCCTGGTTCAACTCCAGTTACTGGTCCCACAGCAGCCCTCCACTGCCAGCCCAAGCAATTGGGGGAAATAAAAATGAGAGAGTGAAAACTGCTACCCTCCTGCAGCCCTACAGTGGAGTCTGGGTGGGATCACAGTTCGTATCTCTTTGAATTTGTCAGAGGAACCCACTAGCCCTGGAACTGCCTCACTTCCTTTGTAGTCTCCCAAGAGATCTTTGCGAGTCCTGCTAAGCCCCATGCCCAGTGGGTACTGATCAGGTTGCTTTCATTTAGATCATGTTGTGTGTGAGGCGGGAGGAAACGTAATTGGAGAGCAGCTTGCATGCAAGCTGCAGTTGAGGGGTCAGCTTTTCATGTAGCTTTTCTGGAGCAGGGATCTTCCTTAGCATGCTAATGATATGGTACACAGATATGCTGGGTTAGCCCCATCTGCCAACACCTCTACATGTTCCATGTTGAGGGAGAAAGACTGTAGCACTGTGGCAGTAGCAGTGTGTCACGCTCAAGCTTGGCTGTGGGGATATACAACATGTGGGAGGGAATTGTCTGAGTCTTGGAGGTTCTTGGGCAACATTTTGCCCACCAGTTTTCATGGGGAGTTAGGAACTACAGCCAGCCAAAGGGATATCCTGAGTGATTTCTCTTCATGCAGTCTCATGGGGAGAAAGAACTTTTCTGAGATCTGTATCCACTCTTCACACTGGGCAGCCCAAGGGTTTGGATGAAGGGAAGGTGGTTGGGTTTCTTTGCTCACAAGATTGGTACTGGCTTCATTTAAGGATTAGTTGCTTTTGGCTCTTTGCAGAAAGCCTCTTTCTACCCAGACTTCACCACCTCTACATCACAGCTTGACATTCCTTGTGCTGGTCTTGTAGCAGTGACTAGCACGTCACATACTCCTTGTACACTGAATTCCTTTAGCTGAGTGGCTCCTTAGGTCCTTACTCGCTGTCAGGGAGTGCTCCTCCCTCTTGCAGTTTTTCTGGAAGGGATTTCTGAGTCTGATGATTATCCTGACTTGGGAATATTTCAGGAAACCATCTGGAAAGAGACATAGTAAAATCACCAATATCTGTAAATCAGATCTTATAAATTAACTGATGTTTATCAAACAGGTGCCCCTATTCATGTCCCACAGCACCTCTTCATATTACAAATGTCTGCTTCCTACCCTGCAAGCAACCCCAGTGAATGCACCGCAGTATTAAAAGCATCAGCCTGGCAGTCAGTGTGGGTTATGTTCTTGGCTCCGTCATTTTTATTTGATTCCTCCCTACATGAAATGTGCTATAAAGTCATAAGTGAATCGAATTGTCCTACACCTGTAGGAAAAGAGAGTGGAAGGTAACCTGAGCACTCATCTTTCTATTCTCCTATTGCAGTCATGTAAAATGACTATTTCTGACAGACTTTTGTCCAAGCTGTTCTTTAAAATTTTCTTTAAAACATCTTTAAAAAAAGATGTCATAATCTTCCTAGAAGACCTGCCACAATGCCTAACTGCCCATCCAGAAAGAAGATTGTCTCCTAATCTTTCTACCTAGTCTTTAGCACAGACATAGCTCTGCATCTCTTTCCTCCCTTCAGCCATCAGTCTCAATGAAATACTCTTACTCAGACTTGTACGCCCCTTTTGAATGGTTGAAATATGTCAACAGACTCAACTCTTACTGCTGGAGTGGCAGCAGGCCCAACTGGCAGGTAGCAACTTCCCGAGATCTCCTTTTGTTGGGAAATTGGGCTAACAGCTAGGTTAAAAAAATGTTAAACTCCAAATGAGGTGTTCAAATGCTTCGGTTAATCTTGCCCATGCGGTCTGAATTTGTCTCATGTACATATATGAACCCATGCTGTTACTCTATGAAAAAAATAAAATGAAAGCTTGTGTTTCATATTGAAATTATCATTTTCCTTCAACTTTAAAGCCATTCAGTTTTAGGATTTGGGGATTTTTATTCTTCTTTTTTGAAGTAAGAGAGAGTTGGTTAAAAAAAAATGGCATTCTGTGTGAAAATGTGGTATGACTTCCATTTATGAAAGTTCAAATCTTCTATCAAGAAAACTAAATATTTTGACTAGAAAATATAAACAATCATTTTTTTTCAAGATTTTCATTCAGTTTCTGACCAGCTGTCATCGTTAATCCATTTAAAATGGATTTCATGTGTGAGAGTTCTCGATTTGCTCTTCTCTGATCCCTGCGCTACTGATCTCAATATAACCAAAGTATTGATCCGTGAGAGAGAAGTATACAAAACATACAAAGACATTTTAAAATTTAAAATGTGTCACTTTTTTCAACATGTTTGGTACATGTAGAAATCACAACTGTATGGTGTAATATAAAGAGTTTATTTGGCAGTTTGGAAGGTCTTGCTTTCCTCACTGGATCTTTAATAAAAAGCTTTCATGATGGGTACACAGTGTTACACATAGATTTATAAGACTGTAATGCTAAAACCCAGAAGGACCTATTAGATTATCTCATTTGACCTACTCAATATCATAAACTGTTATATTTCATTCATTTACACTCATCCTAAGCCAGTAGTTTGTGTTCAGTTAAAACGTATCTCAAGAAAGTCAACCACAGTTGACTTGAGGACTTCAAGAGGTGGTAAATCCACCACTTCAGTTGGTAGTTTCCAGTGGGTAATTACTTACACTGTTAAACAGTTGTCACTTATTTCCAATTTCAATTTGTTTGGCTCCAGTTTCCTGCCACTGATTCTTATTATGACTTTAACCACCAGATTAAAGAACCCTTCAGCACCCAGTATTTTCTCCACTATTCCCATTGACTTTTGTCCACATCTGCTGCTGTTGCTAATATGGATTCTAAATATTGATTTGAGTTTGCAGCTGTTGATCTCACTGGTATGTCCTGAATTTCATGATGAAATCTGGCAGGACTGTAACTTCTAATAAATAAGATATAGAGAAGCAGATTGAGGTATCAGTCTCGTGTTTAATGAGAGAGTCCCTTCAAAAGGCTAATAGCGATCTGTTTTGTGTCTTTTCATCTGTAGGATATCTCACAGATAAAGATCTCCTGAAGTTTCTCATCCGGTGCCAGAATGGCTTGAAGAATAACGGTGTTATCATTCTCAAGGACAATGTAGCCAGGGAGGGCTGTGTCCTGGATTGTCTGGATAGCAGCGTGATCCGAGACCTCAACATCCTCCACAGTCTCATTGAAATGAGTGGACTCACCATCCTGCGAGAGGAGAGGCAGGAGGGATTCCCTGAACAGTGTGTCCCCGTCTGGACATTGGCCATGCAGAAAGACCCCGGCCATTCCTGATGGCATCCAGTGACTGCCAAGACTGGAATAGGGACCAGCCACCGGACTGTGAAGAAGAAAGGGGAAAGAAAAGCATCTACTAGAATCCTACTAACCAAGTATTGTTACTAGTACAGTTCTAAGGGATCGACTTCTGAAGGATCAGGAAATAATTACATTTCATCCAGCTTCAATGAGGGCCTATCCTGCTTCTAAACCCCGTCTGCTTCATCACTCTCTCCACTTTTAAAAGCCTTTTTAACAGCTCATCATTAGATTTTTCTTTCATTAGGAAGTCAGTACTGTGACAAAGCCCATCTAATTAATTTGGTCTGATGTTTGTGAGGTGGCTGGTACCTTTTTGAGTGCCCTGTATGAGGGGTTAGCAAATAAGCCTGTTTCTACAGTGGCACTAAGGCTTCTTGGAAGTTAAGAAGGCTATAATAGATCATTGATGGAGGACATTCAATCTTCTGGAAAACCTAGCCCAAATTTCAACTATCATCAATATCATACTTTAAAATATTTAAAAGAAAAACGTAAGAAAAGTACTATCTGTTTGTTGCCATCAACTCTGCAGTTTATTTATTGTTTTTTGCATTCCTGTCAGTTTGGACAATAAGACAACTTGGCTAATTTTCCTTTCTTTTTTAGGAACTACTTTATCTTCCAGATATTTCTGCCTAGAGCAGTAGTGGTGCATAAGGGTTTGCACATTCTGAGGGGAAAAATAAGTGACAAATAATGCATTTGCACTGAAAATTTGTGAAAGATGGTTCCACAAATTACGTTCTGGAGAATATTTTTTTTCAAAATGTTCACAGTGGAAACCACATGAAAGTATCTCTTTATTATTCATACCACTGTAAATTTCTTTCTTTCCCACATTCAGAACAAGTCTGGCACCATATGCAGAGCTAATGGGATTTCATGGGGTGTTAATAGTAAGACTGTAAGACGAACTAATACCGTTTTGTATTAATTAACAACTGTACTGAACTACAGAGAGTGTCAGTGTAACCCAAAAGCATCTAAGATTTATATTCAAACAGCAGCTGTATAAGCCTGGATTCAACAGTACTGACACACAAACCGTCTCCTTGAGGCTCACAGAAATTACACATTGGGCAGCTTGTTGCCCTCTTCACATATGCATAGCAAATGCTATGGGAGGAATGAAGTTCCTTTTGCAAAGCTTTGCAAAATTTGAATTTCTGCTCTATTCTGAAGGAGGACAAAAAGGAGCAATTTTAAAAATCTCAATAAAGGAAAGTTTCGAGCACATGACCACAAATGAATTCAAAGGAGATGACATTTTTTTTTTATCTGGGCAAAATCAAATGTTTCTTTCGAGTCTGACTTTTTAAAACATTTTCATTTAAAACAATTGTTACTATAATGCAGTAAAAAGTAAATCAAAAATGGTTCCTTGGAAAATTAAAAAATGAATGATAAAGCTAGAATGGACTGTTTTGATTCTGCCAGAATTTATATCTTGCTTTATTTTTCTGAAATGCAACTCTGGCAAAACTTAACTGGCTTTGCAAAAGGTTGCGTTAGGACATACTTCCATGTTCTGATGGAAGAGGGTTCTCCACACAGCTGTATGCACAACTCTGTGTGTCAGAAATTGTGATCTGTGTTAGATTAAACTACATAGAAGTCTGAAGATAACAAGATCATGGAAACTCTCTGCCGGATTGCAGTGCTCTTTAACATCATTTGATAATGAATCTCCAGTTATGTTTTAATTGAGTAACTCTTTTCTCTAGCAATATGGTTGAGTATGTTGAGAACTTCCAGTTTATGGCATCAGAATCTCCAGAGCTATTCAGACCATGTCAGAGCTGAACTGGCCTGGATTAAGAAAGTATCCCCTCTCTGCAGGGGCTCCGAGAGGGAATGAAAGTGCATCCGTGTTCCAGTCAGCCTAACACCTTCACTGCTAGTGTCAAACAGAATTGCAGAATGATCTGATGAGCTGTGACTGTCAGAACCATGAGCAGGTATCAACTTGGATAACCAAACTCCTATGAGAAATCAAAGTCCTGGTCCAGGGTTACTATATTAATGAGAACACTATATGTGAGTCAGTATGCCATCTGACAAAGGCTGTCAGTAGTTCCATGGACTGCCCTGAGCACCTTTGTACCATTCTCCTGTTTTTTCCATTCTCTTAATCCAGGCTCCCCAGAACATTTATAATGGTGAATCAGACAGTAGGACTGTCCAGAGGAACCTGACTCTTAGGGGTGATTAAAACCAGTTGTGTTGCATCCCATTCCTCCTCTCTTCCTTTGATGCTTCTTCCAACTTGCCAAGGAAATGCCTCCTCCACTTGCCAAAAATGATTTGTTCCCTGTGGACATCCCCACATCTCACTGAAGTAAAGCAGACTACCTTTGATTTTTAGAGGAGCTAATGCTGTTTATCTGAGAGTAATAACAACACGCTGTATTTCAAACATGCAGGTTAATACCTGTCTCTCTAAATTGATGTCAAAGAGCCACACTAAGAGCTTTGCACCTAACAAAGCTCACACTCATTATTATTATAAATCCACTTTCCACCCCCAGACCTTGAAACATGTGTTATCATTGTTTTCTGGACAAGGAAACTGAGGCAGAGAAGGGTGATGTAGGCTGAACTACAGTTTTATCTAAGCAGGAGCTCTGAATGATTAACATCTCTACAAATCAGGCCACTGCAGGAACAGCTATGGAGGCAGGCAGACATAAGCTTATTCTGCCCATGCTTGAAGCAGATTGAAACAACGTGGTTGTGATTAGCCTCCTGATTAGCCCAACCTGGTATATCCTGCACAGAGCAAGCTCCAGCTTGCACACATGGACATACCCAGCTTCTGCTCATTTGAGAGCACTGGCAGAAAAACGTGGAGTTCACCTGCCAGGACAGCTGCAGACCTCCCCTTGAAAAAGAGAACTGGCTCAGCCAGTGGCCTATGAAAGGTGTCCTAGCCCATCATTGCTGTCATCTGAACCAGCCAGCTTCAGGTGCATCTTTTCAACAGAAAGGGTTTTAGGAAATCAGTGGACATCTTTCCTTGATTGTCTTCTCAGGTAGACAGAAGTACTTACAGGCAGGCTTACATGCCACCCAGCATCTCAGCATCAGGGAGTATTGCAGTACTTAGTACACCGATCCGCTCCACCCCCTCGTCAGGTAGGGAAGGACTGTTTTGCTTCATTGCATATGTGGGATGATCAGAAAGCAGAGTTAGATTCATCACATTTTACCTCAGCTGTTCAGTCTGAGCTGGTTTTACGATGGCTTTATAACCAGTAGAGCAGGGCTGGTTCCCCTGCAAGGCTTTGCAGTCTCTCCAGGACTAGGGAACAAATCTGGCACTAGGAAGACCCTTTCTCTCTCTGGCAGGTGAGTCAGTCTTCAGCTCGGACCAGATACCTAGGGTTAGTGAGCCGAATCTCACCTTAGGGAGTTTTATACTTCAGAACAGGGAACAGAGCCCAGTTGCACTTAGTCGCAGCTGTGTGCTCATACTGCTGAGCCTTTCCTTCTCTTGCTTGTGCAAACTGAGGGGGTTTGGTTTTCCAGCATGGTAAACAAAGATTTAACTACTTCCTCTCTCCTCCCAAATAACTTTCCCTGAAATGAAAATGGTAAACAGAGCCCTGACTCTCAAGAAATCATTTTGATTTGTGTTATTTCTGTAACTGATCCTGTGCAGGAAGACAATTTTCTGTTAGAAAACAACCCAAGGGAATACCTTAACAGTAATGCTACAAGCAGTCTCATACCATTCTCTGCTAGAGTCTGCATCAGCGGTGGATGCCCACCCATGGAGGAGTTCATAGACCCGCAGTGCAGGGACAGCTGGGACAGCTGGCTGTGTGCAGGACATGCTGCACAGCTCCAGCTCCGTGCCTGGTGGGTCAGGCAGGAGTGGACAGTGACCAGTCGGCAGCAGCAGCCAAGTGGGATCAGGAGCCAGAAAGAAGCTGTGGCTTCATGCTGGGCATGTGAGAGCTGTGACTACCGTGGCTGGAGAAGAGAGAAATGCTTGACATAGAAAACAGGGAACTTGACAGTTTAACATATTTTCATCCTCAAACTCTCCATCATGATACTGGCTTTCACATAATGACATTTTAGGAAGTTATACTTTTGTATTTGTAGTTAACATCCCTTAAGGCTTAGCTCCACCATGAAGGCTAGAAAGCTGTTCTTGCAAAATGAGAGTTCTTACATAATCAGAGGATATAGAAGTGGGTCTAACTTGCTGGGCAGAGAGAAGCTGAGGAAAATGCAGATGTGTCCTCTCCCTCTGTCCTACAAGAATGAGCGCAGTGCTTACAAATACAGACGACGTTGCTGTTACACAATTACATGCTGTTACACACATGTGAATGGGATCACCGGACATCAAAAATCAGGACAAAGAATGAGAAGGAGGCAGTATCATAGAAAGGAGTAAAAACAGTGATTGTGCTACTCATTCTGAATGCAGAATGGCAAGAGACTTGCCCCCTACCCTACAAGCTAGGAATATGTCTTGAGATTGTGCTTTCTCATGCCTGTACTTCAGGCCTGAAAACACAAACCAGCCTACGGCATTTCCATTCATAGGTCCAAAGGGCTTGCAGCGCAGAGCGAAGCACACGCTAATCCCTGCTGTAGAAGAGGAAACAACGGTCCAGAGCATCGTATCACTGAGTATCCAAGTTGGGAGCACACCTGAATCAATCCAATCTCTGGGCAAAGCTGCCAGTTGCCTGCCTGTGAGCTATGAGTACAACAGGTCACTTTTTGCACAAGCAGTTGGTCTCCTTTGGCATGCCCTGCTCCTTTGCCTCACAAGGGAGCTGAGGAGGACAGCAGGCAGCCAGCCTTCTGCCAGAGCCTCACCGCTACTTGAGGCAGAGCAGAACTGCAAGGATCTCGGTGTGGTAGGACGAGAGTTCCAGCCAGGAGAGCTGAGGTGAAAATCCAGCACAAATCCATATGAGACACCCTTGCAGCTCAAGACATCCATCAGCTAATCCTCTCTTTGGCAGTCTCCCCACTTACCCATTCCATCAAAGCAGCTTGGATTACAGCGGCTGCTGTCTTAATGAGTGAGACTCCAAAGAAAGCTGGTTTCTCCAGGATAAAAATAAAGCACTTTGCACTCCCTGGGTC